GCATCAGTTTATGTTAAGAAAGAATGAATTTAAAGCTGTTTAAGGATGACTCTCAGCTACTACCACCTCAGATTTTCCCTCAATATTCGTAAAACTGACTGAGTTATAGCCGTTTATGTGATGGCAAAAATCGATAAGGTACAATTGCCGTCTTAAATTGGCTTGACTTCAGAAGTTAATCAGATGTAGAGGTGCATGCAATGAATACTTTCTGAGAGTTTCAAAGAAATGTATTCTGTGGTGCATGAGATATTATGCTAACAGACAAAACAGTGCGATGCCACTTGGTAAAATAAAAGGCACAATGTGTAGCCCTTGGAGTATATGCTAGGGATGACTTTCAGTTAAAGTTTTAGCTCAACATCTGTAAAACTGCGTTAAAGACATTTTTTGTGTTGTCAAAGGCAGGGGTTCCCAACCCTGGTCCTTGAGGAACACCATCCTGCATGTTTTAGTTGTTTCTCTGCTCCGACACACCTGATTTTAATGACTAACAGGCTTCTGCAGAACACGACGAAGTAATTAAATCACTGAATCAGGTGTGTTGGAGTAGGGAAACTAAAACATGCAGGATGGTATTCCTCAGGGACCAGTGTTGGGAACCACTGGAAGGTCACTTGACTGTGTCATCCATCTTGACTTGGGTTTGCTCCAACGGTTGAATGGTTGTAAAGGTACTTCTTGTGATTACTTACTGAAAGCTTTAAGATTCATCCGGTGGTTCGTGAGATATTTTGTTGAGATTGAACAGAAGTGCCATGTGCGACGATGAATGGGGGTTTAAAACTTTTGCACTGGGAACAATGACCTCTCCTGATGTTTTCATTTCTGAGCGACTCCTCCTCCAGATGTTGCCCAGACTTCCTCTGTGAGGAGACGTGCAGATGGTCACAGCTGTTTCTTTGTTAAAACATTCTTTTGTCCACGTCTTTTCGTTTTATTGTCGCTCTGCCTCATTAAGTCGTCACTTTAATGTGTTTTATTGTTTCGTTGCTTCGTCATCGGCGTCTCGTGTTTGAGGGCGTCGGCGTGCCGGCCTGATGTTCTGCAGTCGTCTCTCGTATGAATTTGTCATGTTTGAAGACATTAATTTGACCAGTGCCACTTTAAGCACTACATTTTAATTGCCTCATATAACGGAACAAAGACGCGTCAAATCGCAGCTGTTGTTGTTCAGTTTGATCAGAACTGGACTGGAAACAAGTTGTTGTTGTTTTTTTAAACTGTTTTTGTTTTAAACAACAAAAGATGTGACAAAGACAAACACCTCAGACTTTAGATGAAGGTCATTATGAAGAGCCGAATGGTTGACATTTGTTCTTTCAAATCTTCTTTAAACAAAACAAAATAATTAGTCTGAAGACGTTAAATTAGTTAGTGACGATAAATGCTGAGTCAGCATAAACGCTGTTGTTTGCTGTTTCTTACATAAATGTTTTGATTTTTTCAGTAGATTTTCATCCATTTTGACCATTCAAATGTAAAAAATGAAATAAAAATGTAACTAAAATTCAGCTCGTTAAGGAAATTACAGCTATGACTTTAATTTTTTGTAATATTAAATATTTATATTTCATGATTTTATTTATTTTTTTGGCTTTTTGAACTCTTTGACACGCTTACATCATTTATAGTTTCTTATTTTTTTTTTAGATTTAAGCTAAGCTATTATGCTAATTTCAGCTTTTAGCTACTATTTAGCTAGTTTTTGTATTTAGATTTTAATTAGGCTACTGTTTTTTCTAACTTTAGATTGTTTAGCTTTAAGCTGCTGTAACACTTTAACTTTAAGTTTTTGCTTATTTGATTTTAGTTTAATACTGTTTGGCTAATTTTAGCCTGGTCTAGACTCATGATCTGCTTGTTTTAGCTGCAAGCTGTGTTATGCTTACTTTATGTTTAAGCTACTGTTTTTCACCAGTTTTAGCTTTTATCTACTGTTTTGCTCATTTTAACTTTTGCTGTTTTGGTATTTAAACTTTTACAGTTTTTTAAATTAATTAAACTTTTAATCTATTGTTCTTAAAGTTTTATCTTTTAGAAGCTGCTTTGCTGGTTTTAGCTTTTAGCTACTATTCTCTCTAATTTGAGCTTTTGGGTACTGTTTAGTTAATTTGAGTTTTTAGCTAGTCTTCTGCTACATTTAGCCTTTGGCTGATGTTTTGTGGTATATGTCACGGTAATTTAAGAAAACAGTGACATAAATGTTTCTTTTCCATGTTTTGATAATTATTACGTCACAGTTTGACCCTCCTGCTGACTCTGAGTTTAAAAGTGAGGCCTCATGGGTAATTTTGACCCAAGGGCAGCAGCAGGTTAAACAAAATCTGAACGCAGTTTCCCAGAATTTGTCTCTAGGAAAAGATGTTTCTACTTGACTCAGGTCCAGACCCTCCTAACAAACTGACATCAATGTACCCCCCACACCCCTTCAAAATAAAAGCTCTGACACAGTAAACAAGTCTTCTGGTTGGACAGGCGCTTTTATTCACTTCTTTTTGCACAAAAAACAGAAAACAGGAGAAACGGTTTGTGGACGTAAGCAGAGCTGCAGGCAGATCACGGAGTTCATTAATATTCAAGGACTTGTCAACCTGTGCTCCATTTCCAGGCGTACGTGGGAGTTAAATTACTGTCGGTCACAAATATCACGTTCTTTGCCATCAGAGCACAAAGCTGAACAGCCGTGATGTAACTAATGGAGCAATCATCCTGGCGAAGTAACGGAGCTGGAATAAACTAAAAGGCTTAGACTGATATTAAAGGAGTCGTTACAGGAAATATCCAGAAAAAACACATTTTCTTATATGTGAGCAGAAAACTGCCAGAAGAAAAGTGGAAGTTACCAAAACTTCATGTTCAACTATCATCACACGCTGGAACGTACATACACTTCATCTGGTGCAGGAGCACCTGTCGTTTCCTGTCTCTTTTATTTTACAGTGTACCATGAGTGGTTCATCGTGGCATTTCTGGATTAAAATGCGTACAATATACTACAAATACCCCAAAATGTGCAAAGAAATTTTGTTCGAGTTGAGCCCAGGGAAGCAGCAGCTACAGAGGATGAGGAGAAAGAGAAAAAGAAAGGTCAGAGTCACGTTAAAGGACGAACAAACTGTAAATAGCTCGTTTCAGGCTCACGTTTGTTTTGGTTTGATCTTTTTTTTATTATAATAATATAATAAATAAACTATCTGTAGAAAAAATAGCCTATCTGGTAGGTTGTTGAATTTTGACCATGGCAGTTATTGCCTTCCATCCATCCATCCATCCATCCATCCATCCATCCATCCATCCATCCATCCATCCATCCATCCATCCATTATCTTCCTCTTGCTCTGAAGTCGGGTCTCGGGGCAGCAGCTTGAGCAGGGAGGTCCAGACATCTCTTTCCACAGCCACCTCTTCCAGTTCTTCTGGGAGGACCTCAAAGAGTTCCCAGACCAACCAAGAGACATAGTCTCTCCAGTGTATCCTGGGTCTCCTCCCAGTCAGACATGCCCAAAGCAGCTCCCTGGGGAGGGGCCCAGGAAGCATCTTTACCAGATACCCGAACCACCTCAACTGGCTCCTCTGCATGTGGAGGAGCAGCGGTTCTACTTTGAGTCTCTCCTGATAACTGAACTTCTCACCCTATCTCTAAGGGAGAGTCCATCTACCCTGCAGAGGAAACTCATTTTAACCTCCTGTATCCATGATCTCATTCAACCAAAGTTTGTGACCATAGGTGAGGGTAGGAACATAGACTGGTGAACAGAGAGCTTTGCCTTAAAGCTCAGCTCCCTCTTCACCACAACGGGCCGGCACAGAGTCCACAATACTACAGACACTGCACCAATCTGTCAGTCAATCTCACGCGCCATTCTTCCCTCTCTCATGAACAAGATCCCGAGATACTTGAACTCCTCCACTTGAGGCAGAACCTCACCCTCGACCCAAAGAGAGCAATCCACCCTTTTCTCACTGAGGACCACGGCCTCAGATTTGGAGGTGCTGCTTCTCATCCCAGCCGCTTCACACTCGGCTGCGACCCACTCCAGTGAGAGCTGAAGATCACGGCACGATGACGCCAACAGGACCACATCATCTGCAAAGAGCAGAGATGGAATCCTGAGGCCACCAGACTCCCTCCACCCACTGGCTGCACCGAGAAATTCTGTCCGTAAAAGTTATGAACAGAATCGGTGACAACAAGCAGCTCCGGTGGAGTCCAGCAATGTAAACCAAACTCTTGCATCGCTTGTATAGGGACAGCACAGCCCGTAGCAACGGACTCCAATCCCATACCCACAGAGCACCCCCCCCCCCCCCCACAGTGTACCCTGAGGACCACGGGGTACACTGTTTATTTACAGTCTGGTGAATTTTAATGTCCTGTCACCAAGAGTTTTTACTCAAACATTATATTTCCTATTGTTGGTCTTCTAGACAGCTACAGCACCTGGAGCAGGGAAGTAGCTCTGTCCTCCAGAAGGCTGTCTATGTGGAAGGCTGTCTATGTGGAAGGCTGTCTATG